TAAAAGGGAATACTTCTCCAAGATCATCTCCTCCAACAATCATGATCCACGTGTGCTATTTAACACTATTGACTTAGTTTGAAATGCTCCACAAAGTGGCTGTTTGAAGGCCTCTTATAACTGGTTGCAACTACGCGGGCTCTCATCTCTGCCCCTGAGACTGACCCTCTATCTTAATCCCTTGCTCTGCTGTTTTTGACCAGTTTGAGCCTGTGACTCTTTGTTATTTCGAGGATGTGGTTGGCCATCTGAGGCCCTCCAGTTCTCAAATGATCCTGTCTATCCTTAAGGTTTTAAAGATATTTTGCCAGACATAGGGCACAATGTTCTTACTATTATAAACAGCAGTTTAATATCTGATGTAGACCCTGCTAATTTTAAGAATGCAGTAGTACAAACCCTGCTTAAGAAAGACAGGCCAATCGCCAAGATGCCTTTTCTGTTTAAAATCCTGAAGAAAATAGTATATTCCCAATTGATTGATTTTTTTAAAGTGAGAATGGTACCCTAGAGGTCTTCCAATCAGGTTTTAAAAACCTCCATAGCACTGAGTCAGCACTCTTAAAGGTTTTTAATGATATCTTTCCTACCTGTGATTCTGGTAATCATGTTGTTCTTGACTTGACTCCTTGCTTTTGACACTATAGACTACAACATTTTGCTGTCTCATTAACACCATCTTGCAGGCATTCGTACTACTGCTTTGAATTGGTTTAAATCTTATCTTTCTGACAGAACTTTTAGTGTTAACTTTTTAGGGTCCTTTTTCACTGTTCTTCAGTGTGGGGTCCCGCAGGGCTCAGTTCTAGGGCCTCTGCTTTTTTCATTCGGAACCATCCTTGAAAGGCCTGAAATATCCTTCCACTGTTGTGCCGACGACTGCGGATTTATCTGCCTCTGGATCTGAAGGATGCCTTCTCTATTAACCCGTTTCTGGCATGTTTAGAAGATATTAAAACTTGGATGGCCCTAAACTTTTGAAAATGTAAATCAAGGAAAACTGAGGTGATTGGGTTTGGTCCTAGCGGACCCCTGATTTGCGACCCCTGGCAGAGTATTGTTACTTTTGTACTTGTAGTGTACTTGTTGTTACTAACATGGGTTTTAAGATGGACAGTGATTTTAAATTGGACACAAAAATTAGGGCTACTGTCAAGTCGAGTTTTTATAATTTTATTTACTTTATCCTGGAGGTACCCAGGTCTCTATTGTTGCTCTTAACCTCTGGAATAACCTGCCCCTGCACATTAGAGAGGCCCCTTCATTGTCCATTTTTAAAACACATCTTAAAATCCATTTTTATTCCTTAGCATATGATGCAGTTTGACCTGGAATTTTTTTGTTTTAATTTAAGTTGAATTATTATTATTTATTTATTTTTTAATGTAT